ATACTTCGTGTTCTAATTTAAAGTATATTATCTGACAAAGGGCCTAAAGTAGGTGATTAGAAAATATTGGCAGAAGAAAGAAAACTTTTTTGAAGACATGCTATGATCTAGGCACTGCAGTAGACATTTTTATATAATTTATCTTATTTAATCCTAACCACAGCCCTAGAGGTAAAGTTGGGTTCTTTAAACTTTTGTAGATGATATTGATATTATAAAACTGTAAACAATTCTCCAAATATTACATGTGTGCAGGAGTTAGTATCAAACCTATAGTTTCCATTTCTGAAATCTATGCTTTTTTTCTTCACTGTAGTAGAGTTTTCTTGTATTTAGTCTCAGAAAAACAATCTTTTGAGATTGTCATATGCCTGAAAAGGCCAGAAGAGAAATAATGTAGATTAGTAAGAGTTACCAAGAAAATCTCTTGTTGAGCAAAACTCAAGCTCTCTAAACAAATACTTGCTTTTAAAGAGTTTTTTTTTTTAAATTTTTGCCACTAAACACTCCCCTAAATTATCAACAAGATTATAGTACTTTATTTTAATACAGTAATTTAAATTTAGTTGTAATTTTTTTCTTTAAATTTTAAGGATATATTCAGTGCTTAATCAACCATTTCCCATGGATTTACTTATATCAATTTTTTTACCCATATGAATTGGACAGTTTCTGTGCAACAGACACACCTCCAATGTAACATTAGATTAAATTCCAGTTTAGCTAAGGATTTAAAGCAGGATAAATACACAGGGCAGGAACGACTATACCTTAGCCTAACGTAGCTTCCCTTAAATCCCAAGTCTCTATCTGAGCCACAAACAGGGGTCAATGACACTGCTAGTAGAATCTCAGCTGGATGAGAAGTTTATTTCTTGTTCATCTACCTGACTTGGTGCCCTATTTGGGCTGCTCCCTAACTCTCTGACTTCTTGTTGGGTCACTAATGGGAGGTGTTGGCAGGGAGGGGATCATAAAGTAGAAGGAAAAAGAAGAAGGCAATTTGGATATCATCACCACTCTGCCATCTCCTCCCACACAGCAGCATTCACTTCCTGCGCTCCTGCAGTTTGGCAGCAGCTGCTGGGGGGTCGGCTTCCATGGCTTTTTCTCTGTGTCTTTCAGCTTCCACTGTCTCTTTGCCCCTTCCTCCCTGGCTCCAGCAGCTGGGTGTCTCACTATGTCTTGTTCATTCCTTGAACCATGCTCACAGATCTGTAAATAGCTCCTTTTTTTTTTTTTTTTTTTTTTTTTTTTTTTTTTTGAGACGGAGTCTCGCTCTGTCGCCCAGGCTGGAGTGCAGTGGCCGGATCTCAGCTCATTGCAAGCTCCGCCTCCCGGGTTTACGCCATTCTCCTGCCTCAGCCTCCCGAATAGCTGGGACTACAGGCGCCCGCCGTCTCGCCCGGCTAGTTTTTTGTATTTTTAGTAGAGACGGGGTTTCACCGTGTTAGCCAGGATGGTCTCGATCTCCTGACCTCGTGATCCGCCCGTCTCGGCCTCCCAAAGTGCTGGGATTACAGGCTTGAGCTACCGCGCCCGGCCAATATCTCCTCTTTAATAAACCATTGTTAATTTAAATCTTCTCAGTTAACCCTCTTGCTTCCTACCAGGCCATTGATTTGATATATGTAATTAGAACAAATTATGAACTACAACCACTTTTATTTCACTTTTGGTTGTTTCTGTAGCTTCAAATTTATACCCAGAATCTGAAATGTAAACATTTATAATTCATGTTTTTACAACCAAATTATTTCCCAAATGCCACAAACTAACTATATTCTCAGTCCTGGCTCAGAATTACTTCAGTTCTTCATAAAAAATAGTTTCTTTCTTTCTACCTGTACATAAAGACCAACAAAACCCATCAAAATAAATATGTCTTTGAATTACAGATGCTCATATCTAAGTCAATCAAAAGAGAGATTTCTTGCATTTCCAGTTTGAAACAAAGACTAAAAGTATTACATGTTTTTTAGGAACTGAATATTTTCCTTTTCCCAGTTTTGTTCATTTTTGGCCTTCATCTTTATGGCTTCTTTGGAATTAGTTTCAAGTACACCTTGTATCGTGTACACTGGCTAGATTAACTAGTTTGTTCCTCTGGACCAAAATAGTTTGGAGAGGGAGGAGGAGTAAGGGAGGTTGTGGTTAAGGATGGGAGAAGCTACATCAATAATTAATACAAAGCTAACACTTAGTGAAATACCTATTACTGTGTAATTACTAAGTAATTACCATTGCTTTCAAAACACTGTATATTTTTAAGTCATATAATCCTGAAACTAACATGAGATCTTGTTATTGGCATCTTGCATCTGAGGTGAGAAAGACAGGAGAGGAAAAAGAACATTTTCCTAGGTCCGACAGCAATAAATAACACTGCTAGGACTTGAATTACACAGCCTGCAGGCAGGTCTAAAATCAAGGCTTTTAATCACAGCACCTAAATGCTATTCAGATATTAATGCTTATGTTCTCCCTTCTCTGCTTGCTCATTTCAGCAAAACAGAAAATAAAAATAAATACAGTCAACCCTCCACATCTGGGGGTTCCATGCCTGTGGATTCAACCAACCATGGATCAAAAATGTTCAGAAAAAAACTGCATCTGTACTGAACATGTACAAACATTTTCCTTGTTGTTATTCCCAAAACAATACAGTATAACAATGATTTGCACAGGATTTACATTTTATTAGGTATGATAAGTAATCTAGAGATAAGTTAAATTATATCAGAGGATAATGGTATGTTATATGCAAATACCAGGCCATTTTATATCAAGAGCTTGGGAATTCCTGAATTTTGGTATTCACGTGGCATCCTGGAATCAATCCTTCACGGATACCAAGGGACAACTGTAAATAAATGTATCTGATCATACTACCATTTAAACTGAAACAAAATAAAGCAGAAATACACCTCTGAAAAACAAAGCCATTTTAGAAATGTCTGACCTATTATCAGTGGTGGCATAAATGCTCCTGAAACCTGGTTCCTGAAAGCAGGCTCTTTGCTATGGTGAGAAAAAAAAAAAATCCCCAAATTATTTTTGGGTCACCATTTATGTTACAAGCCTAGGATGGCTGCCACGGCTTTAAATGTGTATACACCATTGTCTCTCAGACACAATATTTTTCCTGGTTATAAGATATGACCTACACCATTGTATAATAGTTGCAATTCCTTTCTACTAGTTAGGACAATATTTGTAACAATTTTGACAGTATTGGTATTTAGAGGTTGATTGCAACATTTATACACATTATACCATGCCAAGCAATTTAATGTAGAAGTTTAAAAAAACAGTATGTACTAAGTGCTTAACCCAACATTTTCTTTGGTTTCAATTCATTTATAACGTACTCTTTAACCCATGTGGTTTCCCAGCAGACAAAATGTGTTCCTGCTACACGACACCCTTAAGGGAGCTTGAGGGTAACTGAGGAGCTCCAGGGTTTGGTCAGTGGTTCACACACCTGGCTAATCATCAGAACAATCTAGGCAGAGTTCCACAAATACAAGTTCCCAGGCTCTATCCTGGAGCTTCTGATTCTAGTTCTAATGAAGCTCCGAAATTTGCAATTTTTTATCTCCCTAAACAATTATGATGGTTTGTCAGTATGAAGATTTCACCTGTGAGAGGATATGAACAGTCTACGAACTTCCAATTAGCCTGGAAAATATTTATTTTTATGAAGTTCATTGATCAGATCATTGAAAGGACTTATATGATCTCACAGAGTATAGAAGCCAAAGGATAGCATGCAAGAGCAGGAAGATAATGCCGGCAAGCAACAGGGCCCTCAGATTCTCCCAGACATAGCTCTTCAGGGTCATCCTTATGCCCGCAAAGAAATACTTTGTCTTCAGATTAGGTGACAAGATTTGTACAAGAAACCTTGGTTTAGGGGGAGCTCCCTAACAATTTGCTTATATAGACAAGAAAGCTGTCTAGCTAATTATGCTGGTGAAAACCATCAATAATTAAGCTGGGCCTGAGTGCCACCTTAGGAGGTTCAAAGTTTAAATTACACTCTATAAATGATTATTTATTCCACTGCCCTGATCTTGGCCAAGAGTCAGCAGTTGATTTCCATGTTCCCCAGAGATAAGCACAGGGCTGTTCTAGTCCAACTGCAAATTAACTATATCCTATACAATTCTATAGATCCAATTCTCCCTACATGTGCAGCCCTGAAGTACAGGGTTGAGTGCAGTTAAAGGAGATCTGTACATGAGCCAGGGTCAATCTAGGGCTTTAGCAACAGGTGGACCCTAATATTTAATCCTAACTTGGTTCTTAGGTCTATTTATCATTGTCAAATTTCTGCTTACATTACCTCTGTTTTTACATAATGTCTACATTTTTTCCATTAGGACCCTTAAAATATGAATCACAGTTATTTTACCTTCCATCTCTAAGTCCAACATTTCTGTCATATCTGAGTCTGGTTTAATGCTTGCTTTGCATTTTCTGTGTTTTTCCTGCTTTTTAGCATACCTTGAATTTTTGTTGTTATTGAAAGCTATATACATATATTTGGAAAAGAGAACGAGACACGGTAGGCCTTTAGTGTGAGGTTGTATCTTAACCTGGCTAGGATTTGGGCTGTGTCCAGCGTTTTCTGTAGCTGTAGGTGTCGAGTTTTTCAATTATTTTAATGTCCTTGTTTTTGTCTCTGGTGTTGTCTTTAGGTTTCCCTAAGAACTCCTTCTTAAATAGAGTCTAAAGTTTGCAGGTCTTTTGGCTACAAATCTACTGTTATTATATTAGATCCCCATTGATTTGGTAGCAAGGAGTGGGAGAAAAGAGAATTCCGTAATCTTGTGATTAAATCTCAGTTTTTTAGCAGATCTTTCCATGAGGGCTGTGACTTTCACAGTTGCTTTTACCTTTTTTTTTCTCCTCACTTAGGTAAGACAGAAAGGCTGTGGGTGGCTGGAATTGGGTAATTGCCCTTCTGTCTACATAAGATAAGGCTCTGATAAGATCTTTTTCAGTGGAGCGTAGGACTTTGTTACAAGAAAAAAATGGTCATATTTCAAAGTGGTTACTTTTCTCCTCCCCTTGCCAAAGACTAGAGATGATTTTTCTCGCTTCTTCATGATGAGAACTTGTTGGGGTTCTTGGAGGTAAAAACCTCTGAATATGCTGAAACCCTGCTAAGACTGTGGCTCCAAGGAGTTTTTTATTCTTGAGCTATGTCACAATCAACTTACGGCAATTTATCTGAATTACCATTCAGGTGACCCATCCAGTTTTTAGTTCCGTGGTTCCTGCTCCAGGTAAGCTGATGTCAGTTGTACTCCGTATTCCTCTGTCTCCATATTTCAAAATGGTAGTTTGTCATGTGACTGCAGTTGTCTGATGGGTCCCAGAAAAGTTGTTGATTTTCAGTGTCTTTAGCTTTATTCCTGTTGTAAGGATAAGGCTGATGATTTCAAAACTCTTTACATGTTAGAATTGGAACCTAGAGTACAAAGATGTTTTTTATAAATAACTTGTGACTCTATTTTGGAGTCAAAATTAGAGGAAGTAACAGCAAAATATTATACCAGCCATAAGTTACAATTCCTTTTGTATTGTAGATGATACATTTAGAACTTAGTTCATTGTTTTCCTGTCTATGTAAAAGCAGGTTTATAAAAAAAACACTAATAGTATTGACAAGATTATATGGTAATATTTTCTTAATTTAAAAAGTTTTAAAAAGACATTTTAGAACCTTTTTGCTAAAAAAAAAAAGATGCAAAAATACTAATTTATGACATACTAATATTAATGTCCTGTCATTTTCTAGAAGACACAGACAAACTGATACATCGTGAAAAGAATTTATTTAGCCAGAGTGAATATATTCTTCTTTATCCTCATTGTCTTTATAGAAACCTCCAAATGAGCAGCAGTGCGCATCTATAAAGGCTACATGGACAATTCAGAGAAAAAAAAAAGTGAACATGATTTGATAAGAATAGAGTACTATTCTAAAGTAGAGCAAATTTCTAAAATCTTTCACCTCTAACACTTTCCAAGTATTCATTTATATGAATTAAGTGTTGACTGGTGTTTCCACGAACTTACCTGTTTCTTCAGTGTAAACCATTTGGAGTCTTTGGATGCAAGTAAACACTATGAAGCATATTATTTTATTCACTTTTGCTATAAATTTACATTAGCTATTCCATTCAGTTCATCCACATTGTCTGAATTAATGGCATGAGGCTCTAATTGTTGAAGTCTGAATAATGTATCCAAAATATATTTTATAAAAGTTTTTTTGGCTGGGCACAGTGGCTAATGCCTGTAATCCCAGCACTTTGGGAGCCTGAGTGGGCAGATCACGAGATCAGGAGTTTGAGACCACCTTGGCCAACGTGGTGAAACCCCGTCTCTACTAAAAATACAAAAATTAGCTGGGTGTGTTGGCGGGCACCTGTAGTCCCAGCTACTTGGGAGGCTGAGGCAGGAGAATTGCTTGAACCCAGAAGCAGAGGTTGCAGTGAGCCAAGACTACGCCACTGCACTCTTGCCTAGGCAACACAGTGAGACTTTGTCTCAAAAAAAAAAAAAGTTTTTTTTTTAATAGTGGTATGAATTGTAACTATGTTCTTTTATATTTGTCTTTGACTAAGAGTGATGATAAAGTCTCTACCTTGCTCCTAACATTTGAAAATAAATTACTATGATGCATTTGGCAATACACATGTACATACAGACATATGGAAATAATATTTGTTTAGGATCACAAAGGATTTTATACTGCCATTTTTCATATACTTCACAACAAAGATAGTGATATTTCTTTCTTTCTTTTTTTTTTTTTTTTTGAGACAGTCTCGCTCTGTCGCCCAGCTGGAGTGTAGTGGCGGGATCTCAGCTCACTGCTAGCTCTGCCTCCTGGGTTCACGCCATTCTCCTGCCTCAGCCTCCCAAGTCGCTGGGACCACAGGCGCCCACCACCGCGCCTGGCTAAGTTTTTGAAGTTTTTAGTAGAGATAGAGTTTCACCGTGTTAGCCAGGATGGTCTTGATCTCCTGACCTTGTGATCCGCCCACCTCGGCCTCCCAAAGTGCTGGGATTACAGGCGTGAGCCACCGCGTCTGGCCAGATAGTGCTATTTCTAAGTTTTCTGGCAGGATGATATGCCAAGCAAGGAATGATTCAATTACACATTCAGAAATCATTCAGTTTTACATATGTGTGACAGGGGAATACAGATTAGTTGGAAAAGAAAATGCATTGTCACCAAAAATAGCATTTATTTTATCATTCGGATGTTATTGCTGCAGTTATCTGTCAGGAATATCATGTTTGGCCCTTTGGGATTTCTTTTGTACTATAATTTCAAGAATTTGAAAGTCATATTCTTTCTGCATGTTACAAAGTTACTCTTTTTCATATCAAAAATTGATTCTTTTATGTGAGTTTCCCACTTCAGCATAAATTGTTTATTACTAAATGGCTTTGTAAGGTTGCAGGAAATACACTTACCTCTTTAATATCCTTTTAAACCAAAGTGGAATGGAATCCACAGGGAACATTTAGTTGTATTAGGAGACTGGAAAATTTGACTAACTTGCTATATTTTTTTGTGAAAGGGTTGATAAAGGAAATTTTCTAAGGTAGTTTGATCTTTATTAAATCTGTTTTTCTACAAAGAAAGCCAGTTTCTACAACAATTGCCAATGTTACTTGAAAGTAACAAGGCAAATGTGTCCTCTGTACTTTCTCTGCACAAAAGTAGAAAAAAATGAAAAGGAAAAGTTGAACTTTTTCTCTCATTATATAAAACTGTGATCATTCAGTAGTGTTGTGTGCAGTGATCTCTCTAGAAATTTGTTGAAACAAATAGTCATCCTCATCTGCTACTATAGATATAATTTTGATAAAGTACCATACCAAAACAATGTAAAAATAATTGTGACACATGTACTATCTTAAATTGCAAAGTATGCTAATGGTTGTTATAAGTCTGAAGTGGGTCTTGGAAATTCTCCTTCTAAATCACACCCACTTCCTCAATTTCACGGCTCAGGAAGTTTGGCTCTGGAAGGATACAAAAATAATAAAATAGTGCCTACAAGTCCATGTTTCCTGACTTTCAACCCCAATGCTCTTTCCAAGTCAAATATCCGTTAGCTTACCTAACTAGCCTGAGCATGGGATGGTATCCAGCTAATAGTTACTGAGTGTTTGATATGTTCAAGAAAGAGAGGAAACCTGTCACAGAGAGGGAGACATTGGCAAGACAAGCTAAGGAACAGGTCACCAAGAACCAAAAGCAGCAGAGAACACCTTATGCAGAAATAGAGGAATTAGCTAAGTACCCAGAAGGTGCAGTATTTATGAGCAATAGATGGGTACAATTTGAGGGGTTTCAGTTTCACTGAGTGGAGTACTCACATGGTAAGTGAGAAAGGAATTGGTCAGACCCATGGAGTGCATTCTGATAGTCTCTGAGAGGAAATAACAAGGAAAGTGAAAAATAATTGGCTGGAAAGGCAAAATGATAGCATTCTAATGATAAGTTTGACTTAGTGCTAGCAAACTTATGAATCCTCACCCATAAATCTTCAGGCAGTTATCCATTCTCATTAATCTAGGGGGAACTGGGCTCTGTTTGGGCTCTGCATATCAAATATTGCTTTGGTATGTGGGCCACAGGAGCCCTGCTACTCCTGCCACACATAAACCAGAGGTTCCGTGGAGAGTCATACTGGCTCATACATGCACTGAAATATTGATCCCTGTATGGCTCAGAGAAGCTGAGTGGAATCTGAAGCACTTGAAGCTGGATTAGCAAACAAGAAACATGCTATGAGAGAGAGAGTGGAAAATAGGAGGTAAGATGATAAAGGGAATATAAGGCAAGCATGCATTCATATTCTATAGTCACCATAAGAAGCTACACATGCAATAAGGATGCACAGACCCTCCGTAAACCAGTTCTGATAGCATTCTTCCTCCACTCTGATGTGATTGCGCAAAATTGAGGTGGCTCAGCTGAAGGGTAGCAAGCTGATCAGTGAGCACCAGTACAGATTTACAAATGCTCTAAGTAAATGACATTTGAATACCAGTCACTGGCTTTTTCAAACAAGGTCATTTATTATAAATAAAAACCTCCCAGGACGGGCACAGTGGCTCGCTCCTGTAATTCCAACACTTTGGGAGGCCAAGGCGGGTGGATTACTTGAGGTCAGGAGTTCCAGACCAGCCTGGCCAACATGGTGAAACCCTATCTTTACTAAAAATACAACAAATTAGCCAGACTTGGTGGCACATGCCTGTAATCCCAGCTACTCGGGAGGCTGAGGCAGCAGAATCACTTGAACCTAGGAGGCAGAAGTTGCAGTGAGCTGAGATCATGCCACTGCACTCCAGCCTAGGTGACAGAGTGAAACTCTATCTCAATGAAGGGGTCCAGCCCCTCCACACCTGTGGGTGTTTCTCATCAGGTGGAATGAGAGACTGAGAAAAGAAAGAGACACAGAGACCCAGTATAGGGAAAGAAAAGTGGGTCCAGGGGACTGGAGCTTAGCATATGGAGGACCCATGCTGGCACCGGTCTCTGAGTACCCTCAGTATTTATTGATTATTATCGCTACCATCTTGGAAAGGGGTATGTGACAGAACAACAGGGTAATAGTGGGGAGAGGGTCAGCAGGAAAACATATGAACAAAGGTCTCTGTGTCATAAATAAGGTTAAGAAAAGGTGCTGTGCTTTGACGTGCATGGATACAAACATCTCAGTGCATTAAAGAGCAGTATTGCTGCCAGCCAGCACGTCTCACCTCCAGCCCTAAGGTGGTTTTCTCCAATCTCAGTAAATGGAACATACAATCGGGTTTTACACCGAGACATTCTATTGCCCAGGGACGAGCAGGAGACAGATGCCTTCCTCTTATCTCAACCACAAAAAGGCCTCCTTCCTCTTTTACTAATCCTCCTCAGCACAGACCCTTTACCCCTTTACAGGTGTCAGGCTGGGAGCCAGTCAGGTCTTTCCCTTCCCATGAGGCCATATCTCAGACTGTCACATGGGGAGAAACCTTGGACAATACCTGGCTTTCCTAGGCAGAGGTCCGTGAGGCCTTCCACGTGTGTATTGTGTCCCTGGGTACTTGAGATTAGAGAGTGGTGATGACTTTTAACAAGCATACTGCCTTCAAGCACTTGTTTAACAAAGCACATCCTGCATAGCCCTAAATCCATTAAACCTTGAGTCAAGGCAGCGCGTGTCTCTGCAAGCACAGGGTTGGGGCTAGGGTTACAGATTAACAG